AGATCCCTCTCACAGTTACTACTATTGAGCAAGGTACCCCCTATACTATACCTGTACATTTGGTTTTTCTTGCCTAAATGTAGAACCTTACTTTTTTCACCATTGAATTTCATTTTGTTAGATAGCGCCCAGTGTTCATCCTCCCAACCTATGCTGCATTTTTGTGCACCCCTCACACTCTCATGCATCTTTTCCTGACAATCCCTCATCCCCTCACTCACCCTCACATGCCCTTCTGCACTACTTTGTGCCTCTTGGCTACTGTAACTCGGACTTGCAACTTCTTGCTGACATCCCCATTGATTTTGGTTGTGGGAAAGGGGGAAGAAGTTGCCACATCTAATGATTCAGATTCAGTTAATGATAGCATCCAGGACTGCACATAGTGCTGTATTTTGTATTATGATTGCATCAATTAGTGATAAAAATTCAGTTCCCAATTGTTGTAATGAGTTGAGGATTACCTGCATATTTGAGAACTGCAAAGCTAGTAGTATTTTTTCTGTGACTCAGTTTTCTTTTCTTTTTCTAAATAGTGATGTGATATTTGACTCCTGAATGTGTAGCATTTTGAAGGAATATTGACTTTTAGAGGTTATTAAGTTCTGCAGAAATTTTCAGTAATAATGATGAATTTAGTGGAACAATTACTGGGCATTATAATGTTAGCATTTGGGTGACTAACTTTTTCCTTTTTCTCTTGTATCAGGTTACATACTTGGGAAAAGTTTCTACAACAGGGATGCAGTTTTTGTCCGGTTGCACAGAAAAACCAGTAATTGAATTGTGGAAGAAGCACACCCTTACTAGAGAGGACATCTTCCCAGCTAATGCCCTCCTAGAAATCCGCCCTTTCCAGGTTTGGCTTCATCATCTGGACCTCAAAGGAGAGGCCACTATTCACATGGATACCTTTCAGGTTGCTCGTATTGCTTACTGCACTGCTGATCACCATGTGAGCCCAAATATTTTTGCTTGGATATATCGGGAAATCAATGATGATTTGTCCTATCAGATGGACTGTCATGCTGTAGAATGTGAGAGCAAGCTAGAGGCCAAGAAGTTAGCTCATGCTATGATGGAGGCCTTTAAGAAAACTTTCCATAGCATGAAGAGTGATGGCCGGATCCACAGGAATAGCTCCTCCGAAGAAATGTCTCAAGAATTAGAATCTGATGATGGCTGAATTTCAGTTTTTTTGATGGTTAAGCAACAGCAAAAATGGCCCTGGGAACATAAACATATATATAAAATAAATGAACAACCATTCAATTTGGGAATGATGAATTTCCAAAATTTCTCTAATCACCTTTTTCATTTTTTTAAAAAAAGCAATTCAGAAAATTTCCTGAAAATATGCTTCTTTATTATAATTACATAACATTGAAATCTGCTGCTGGATTTTGTTTTGTTTTGGTTTTTTTGGTTTTGTTTTAATGTGATAAAATTTCTTGTTTAGTCATTTGTCCATTTCACGTTTCAAACTTATTTTAAGCTTTGGAATTCAAATCTTATGGTTTGTAAATTATTTCAATTTCCTTGTTGAATCTCAGAGTTTGTTGTTAGCACGTAGTACATCTTCTACAGACAAAGAGAATACAATTTGAGGATCATCTGCTCTCTTTTTTACCACTTCCCGGGCTGAAATTTCTACCTGCAGTTTGACAGCCTAACAATTAATCCACATTTCATGGTTTGAGTATTGACATATGCTTAACATTTACAAGTTATAATCATATGCTATATTTTATTTTATTCATTTAAGCTTTTAAAATGTACTTTCAGTCACATATTTCCCCCTTAGTGCCATTGTTTAAAAGATGAACTGCAGGGATGCCAAGTGAATGGTGGGACACCTGAATGTAAATTTCCTCTTTTATGCCATGTCCATTAAATCAGACCACTGTATAAGGATGAACATCCTGAATATATATTAGTTGGGCTGTAAGGCAGAGTCTACCTTGCTTCTGGCACAAACTTTAGTTTTGCAATAGTCTTGCCATAAACAGAATCTACATCAGCTTATTTACTTGTGCTCCAGTGTTCAGTTTAAACTAGCATATTAATCATTAGCATCTGATAATGATAGGTATAAGATCCTTTAAGATCAGGTTTGGTGACAGAAAGTTTGTAATATTTTGCTAATATTTCCTGAAATATTAACATCATGTTAATATTTCCTGAAATGTTTTCAGTTCACAGATGTAAGAGTTCATAAATATTTATAACATTTTAAGACAAAGTGCTGATTACTAATATATAGGTAATGCTGCACTTCATACAGACTTGTTCATATGTTGTGGTAATGTTAGGAGCACTGGGCACCTTACAGAAGCCTTAAAAGAAAGCAAATCAGAGCAGATAGCTATGGAAGACTTTTTCATTGTGTCTGAATATGCACCTATGTGTATGTATGTGTGTTTCTGTCTGTCTGTCTGTGTGTATGCAGTGACTATTAGAGCATATAGATTTATCATGCAAACATACTGAGGAGGAATTGCACCTTTAATAAATATGCTTATTGCTTTCCAATGTATGTAAAGTATTCTTCAGCTTAAAGGCATTCATACTTTAATAAAAAAGGTGGAATTAAAAATTAATAATTTCAGACTTCATGATTTTACATGTACACTCCTAATCTACCAATTCTGTCATTAACTACAGTCTGCATAATCATATATAATAACTGGCATTAAACCTTGAATTATGGCTTCAGTACTAAATTGTATTTTATACTTAATATTAAATTGTACTTTTATTCTGATGTATGTAGGCATTTTGCTTTTTCTGAAGGGCTTTTCCATCTTTTCTTCTCCACCCTTTCTAGCTACTAGGCATTCCAATCTCTGTGAATTGAAAAGTTCTATGCTTTTTTCTAAACCTGAGACTAGAAATATATAGCTGTAAAACTCAACTTCAGTAGTTTTCCCTAAGAGTTCAGTTGTATAGGCTTTATATTCATTGTTACTGAGAGTTATAAGAACTTCACATTTGCCCTTCTCTTTCTTAGAGCGAATTTTGGATTTGTAATGAAAAGCATGGGAATTATTTATTTGTAAGCTGCCTTGGCTTGGAGGACACAGTCTTCCTCCCAAGTTTGGCTTCTTGTAAGAGAGAACTAAAACACACATACCCATGAAAAGTTCCTTTGTTCCAAGCTTCTGAGGAACACAGATAGTGCGAAAATAAACTGCCACCCTGGCTCAGAGATTGATGGGATAGAAATGAGAAAAGATATTTTGTCCTCTTCATCTTCCCTGCCCTTGGATCATTCAAAGGAAGAACAGCAGCTTTCCTCTTTTGAAATTGTAGACATATAGGACTCCTATATGACAAATCAATTGTTCTTGAATTAAGTTTACTCTAAATCAGGTCACTATTAAAAAAGATTAGGGTTTATTTATAATGCGTAAAGAAGGATTCATATAAAATGCACAAAAAAGAAAAAAAATAAAGAAAGCACTGATGTCTTAGTAATAATTAACTTGTTAAAAACAAGTTGAAAATATTTCCATCAGCCTTCATGCATTGTTATTAAGATATTTGAAAATTTCATCAAATCAGGGCACAGGTGAAATTATCTAATCCTTTTGATTCAAGCACTAACTATTCTGATTTAAAGAAGATGAAAATGATACTCAAATATGTTCTTTGTTTTTGGTATTAGTAATGTGGGATTTTTATACTATCACCATTCTTGTTTCTCCTCTCCAAGAACTTTATTATACATAGAGTTATGGATAGATTTTGTGGATGACCTCACATTACTTGATGAAACAAAGGGGTGCTTGCAAGAAATGACCACCAGTTTAGATAATGAGGCCAATTGGCCTACTTATAGATTTTGAGAAAACTAAGTGTATGCAAGTTGGAGGTGCTCAGGATAATATGCCTCTAACAGTCCACGGTCGGACTATAGAACAAATCCAACAATTTACTTATCTTGGCAGCATTATATCTATTGATAGAGGTATAGATAAGGACATTACTGAATTCAAATGGCAGTAGCCGTGTTCCAAGCATGCAGCCAAGTATTACCACAAATTCTTCAAGACTGTTGTTATATCAACTACAATATATGCTTGTGAAACCTATAAGTGTACAACCAAGATGATTAAATGGTTAAATATTTTCCAACAACATTGCTTGAGAGGAATCCTCCGCATCTCATATTGTGACTACATCACTAATGAAGAGGTATTACAAAGATCTGATTTGGGCCATCTATTGGGAATCGTGAATGAATGTCGAATGTGGCTTGTTGGCCATATCTTATGTATGTATGCCTAGAGATCGGCATCCAAAAATTGCACTACATTGGATACCTCCTGGAGGAAAGAGGAAATGGGGCTGGCCTCAGAAAACTTGGAGCCAAACACTTAAGGAAGATCTTAAGGTTATTAATGTCCCTTGGAATAATACTGAAGATGCTACAAATGATCAAAGCCACTGGAATGCCCTGGCCAGGACCTAATGATGATAATGAATGATATTGAGAACTTTTAGCTCCTTCTCCAGCCAATATGGGCTATGGTTACAGTTCCTGAGAACTATAATTCAGCAACATTTTGATTCCCTTATCTCTAATGGCATGTCCCACTCTTTACCTATTATAAGTAATGCAATGGCATATGAGCACTATTAAAGCCTTCTGCTGTATCCAAGCAGTGTGCAGAGTTATGTAAGCAATCCTCCAAGTTATAAAGTTTCCTAATCCTACTACCCTAGATTTGAACCAGAGCCCTTTTAATCATTCAGAACCATGCATTCAAATAATAATCATATTAAAACTGAGAAACTTGCTTTCAGTTGGTTTGTAAATTATCATATTTGTTCATGAAATAGCATAGCATGTATAAACCACAATGTAAACAGGATTAATAGCCAAGGACTATGCTGCAAAACAGCAAACATGTAAAAGCTGTCTTGGCCAGAATTGTTAGATCTGTTTCCAATGAGTCTGAATTTCATTGTACATTTGCAAGTCAGTACAAGAAAAAAAAGTTAAACATTATCAGCTTTATAATCTTCCTGTTTTTGAAATCAGAAGTGTCCAGGCCCCAAGGCTACTTACATTATCATTTCAAAGATGTTTTCACCCAAAGTTATATCTATAAATGATACAATTCTTATTACTGAAGCTGTATCCTAGTCCTAATTTTTATTTTTTTAAAAAAAATGTTTCAGCTAAACCACTCAGAAAAAAACCTGTAACTGCTCCCTGGCTATAATCTAATCTTTATCTTCCCTTTCAGAAATGGCATTATTTATTCTTCTTCAAATATAATATTAGAGTCTATAAACTCCATAGACGATCTGTTTTTACTTAATGTCCTTCAGATGACGTGGACTTCTGTCCCATCTGTGCCTGAGAAACCATGGGCAGAATTCCTGGAAATTGGGTAGCCTAAAAATTAACACTAATTAAATTAAACACTAATTAACTAATATTGTAATTAAGTACATCTCTTGGTACTTCAAGTACTCTCTCTCTATCTCTCTCTATCTCTCTCTCTCTCTCTCTCTCTCTCTCTCTCTCTCTCTTTATATATATATATATTTGAAACGGTGATCTATATTAATTTTAATAACTTTGTTCTTATGTATGTCAACTGAATCAAATGTTTCTGTGTCCATTTGAGCTCAACAGATGTAAAAATGCTACATATTTATCTGAAATATCTTAAACTATATCTGGATACAGGAGATATTCCCCGTTTGCACATTTATTTTATTTATTTGAATTATTACACCAACATACATTTTCATGGTAGTTTAAACAGGAGCTAAACCAGTCCAAAAAGCAGTCCAAAACCCATGTTCCTAGCATAATATAAAGACAGTTAAAACCATTCACAGTTTCGCCAAAGTTTCTAGCATGTTTATTCGTTTTCAAAAAGTAATACCAACAGTGATTTGTTTTGAAGTAAAAACACCTGAATTTAGAATACCTTTTGTTTAATGTTTAAATGGAACTTCCATGTTTTAACTTAAGTGAATGGTATAATTCCACGTGTGAGCAGATATACTCAGTAAAATGTTCCACTGGATTACAAAACAAATTTGCTGGTCTAAAAATTAACTTCTTCAGAATTAGAATAGTAAATTACATTTAAATAAGGCTGGTGGACATGCATAATATCTACGAAACACTTAAAAACCCTATTCCTGTTACACTCATATGGTTTCTCTCATATTTCTTTAATAAATATTTCTTACAAAAATGCCAGCCATATTTATAAAGCCATTTTACTTTCACAAAAGTTCATTGACTGTCTCTTCTACAAAAACCATTCTAGATAGATGTAAAACAGCAAGGCTACAAATGGATATGAGAAAAAAGGAAACCTTTGGTAAATATTAACATAAGCACTTTCACTACATTTCCCAATGTAAAAGTGTAATTGTTAATAGCTCTTCAAGTTTTTTACA